GAGGAGCGTCAACACCTGCCCAGACTTGCAGAAGGGTCTGGAGGAAGACACGGCAGGAGGCTTTCCTTTATGGGTACTAAAAGTAGAGTGATTGAGTCTAAAGAAACAGGAAAACACAATCAGCTTTGTGTACCGCATGGAGAGCAAGGACTGAGAACCAGCTGCTTTTAGGGAGGGTGGGTCAGGAATGAGGAAAACGGAGCAGAGAGTGGGTCTGCCTGTGAAAATCATGGGAAGGGCTCTGAGGTTTCTAGAAGCAATAGAAATGGCCATGTCCAAGCAACTCTGGCTGCTCAGGACTGTCACACTGCCTGTTTCCCCAGCATCCCCTGGCAATAGCTAAGCAGAGCTTTCCAGCCTGTTCCCCACACCGGCAAGGCTGAGGTTCTCCTGGTGTCACCCAGTCCTTCCAAGGATGTTTCACACTGGCTCTGACTCCTGACCCTTAACCAGGGTCCATGGGAAATGCTGAAGCTCCAGCTCCCTCCCCTGCCATGGGAGGCCCTGCTCTTTGAGAAGCTTTGCTCTCCATCTGCGGGGTGAACGCTACAGCAGCAGCATTTGTGTGGCACGTCTTCACTTCTAGTATCTTCCCAGGACCAAATTCAGACGAAGAGCCAGAAAAGCTGTGGCTTGTCAGACGGTAGTTTGATTGTGGGGAACAAATTGCTGGTCTGCAACAGCATGCAAGATCTCTCTTGTGTTGCCATCCCTAGCTCTCTGCAGATTAGCAACTTGATTTCTTCCACACATCAATGTCAAAAATCTTTTCAGGTTGAGCAAAACATCTTGATCAAACCAAGCTGTTTTTTTTTTTTTTCCTTTTCAGACCTATGTAGGGAGTTTTCCCATTTCAAAAAAGGCTTTTGTGGTTGTTTTTTTTTTTTTTAACTCCAAACCTGTGGGAATTGGCATCCCAGTGCAAACCATCTTCCTACTTTGGGCCACCAGGAAAGATGGGCTGTAAGGTTGGCCATGCCACAGAAACACCAGCAAGTCCTCACACCACCTGCCTCCCAACACAGCTCCCTCCTTCTAAGGCCATGTCTTAGACCAGACTTTCCCATCCTGGTGCTGCAAGCGGGTGGTCAGCGTGACCCTGCCAAGCCCACGGGCAGCTCAGGCCACTGACTGCCATGTCCCTGCCCTCAGAAACGTGCCAGAGCAGAGCCTCCTGCTTAACCAGACATACAGGTACTTTGAGAAGACCACTCCCTGCCTCTGACAGCTGTTTTGACTTGGGGCATCAGCCCATGAGGATCCTTCTACAGTGAGTTGGGCAAGGGTGCAAAGAGAGGACAAAGAAGAAAACACATCAGTCTCTGCAGGTGCACCAGGAACCCATGCAACAAAATGGGTTTGGCAGCCTCACAGTCCTCCTGTTGACTCAGTCCGTTGGCCAAAGCAGCTGGACGTCAGGGGAACAGGAGGTAACAGGCTGTATGTGGGGAGAGCCCTGCTTTTCCTTGGCATCCTGTGTAACCCACGGCACTTCAGGGCACTGACACTGCTCACCATCGTGATACCCTCAGCCCTCTGTAAGTGAGAGCATATGTGCCCAGCAGCATGATACAAGAAAAACCTCACATCCCTCTTACACACAAAGACAAGAGGATATAGAGGCTGCCATTGCTCAGCTTGCATCTGTTCCTACTAAAGTCACAAGCATGCTTGTTGGCTTTCAGAGCCCCCAAAGATCATGACTCATTTGAAAACGTACATCAAAAATGACTCAGGGGAGCTGGGAGGGGAGAAAAGAAAGCCCTGGCATGGCTATCGGCACCTCCTTCCCAGACCTGCACTGCATCCACCTGATGAAAGTACCCACCTGATGAAAGCCCAGGTAGTCCTGCACAGTAGAGGAGATGTAGAAGATGTAGCCATCTCCAGTCACAGCAATAACAAATCCATTAAGTGCCTGAAAGCATAAGTTGAGCCCAGAGTTACTCTCCCTAGCTTCAATTCAATTGATTAAAGATGAACTTCTCCAGGTATTTCTTAAGCATTTGGGGACAGGAAGGGACCTTCTTTGTCAACAAGGAACCCCCCTGAAAAAGGAAAGCACCTTGTGACCATGCAAGACTTTTAATCCTGGTTAGTCAGGGTTTTTTTTCAGGGTTGGCATGACCAATGATCAAAGGTGGACTGACCACTTTTTCTAGATCCATCATTGAAGCCCTCTCACCTCAGGGCAGCTCCTGCATCAGGAGGGACCAGCTAAGGAGAGGTTTCATGGAGGACCTAGAGTTAGTTACCTCCTATCCAGCTGTAACAGATGGGTATAGCTATACTCCTCTGTGGATCTGATTTTCTCTAACGAACCTGCCTACAACCTCAACAACAAGCACCAACAGGCAGTTGGGAGGAAGGACTGCCCCGAGCCATGCAGGAGCCTGGCAACTCCAGGAGAATCCTAGCATCAGTTCAAGCATAATGAAGCCTTCAGAGACAGTAACCAAACTCCAGTCAGTCACCGACCTGACCTATTTATCCACTTGTTCATTTTAAGGATGACCTCCAAAGACACTTTGGGCATCACTGCTCACCTTGAATTTTACAGTTAGGAGGTTATACAAGCTTATTTCTGCATTTCTGTATGTCTTCTTCCCACACTTTCTCCAATCACGCCCCAAAACCTGCCTTTTAATCCTTAGCACCCGAGGACATTGCTGTCCCTCGGACTTCTGCTCTCAGCTCCAAGGGTACATGAACAACTCATCACAAAGTACATGAAGTAAGAATAAATCCAGTCACCGCTAGCATTAAAAAATGGTAATGCAGCTAAAAACAACACCCACCTTGAAAGCCAAAAGGCAGAAAAATCTGGAAATTCAGATCCCAGATGTGTGAAGGCGCTGACATCACATCTGTGATGTCTGAAGTGGCACCCCCTGGTCCTTTTAAGCATGCAGACTGTTTGACACATCTTCGAGGAGGTGACAGCATCCTATTCTCATCTGTCTCTTATTACACAGGGCCACAACCCCTTCTCATCTGACTTTGTTCTTGGTTCTGACAAATGTCTCAAGAGGCCCCATTGCTCTTGAAGGCCTTCAAACACATCCTGGCATTGAACTGCCGCTATGAGACACCATACCAGGAAAGTTACTCTCCTCTTGCATATGTTCTAGATGACAGAAGATAAGGCTTTAAACACAAAAAACCTAATCTCTATATAAAACATCTTTGTGCTCATACCATCTGCCAACTTCACTTCTTGCCTCACACTCTGCAATTACACACACATGGCCTGCAGCTAAAGCCATACCCAACTGGTAGCTCCTTGCTTGAAAAAGACCAAACCCATGCCAAATTAGAGAAACTACTCAAAAAAATATGGGAGATCATGGCCAGGGTGGAGGGAGGGGAGCTCATGCATCAAGTGAATACCCAGAAAAAGAGGCAAGACGAAGATCCAGGGAAGCACTGCACTAGGTAGTAATTCCTGCCCCCTGCTCTTGTCTGTAATAGATTTAATTTATTAGTGAATTAAAGGAGAGAAATTAGGAAAAGAAAACCCTAAGTGGAAGTCTGGGTTTAATCAGGATGTGGGCAGAAGTCTCAGCAGGTCCCATAAGCATCAGGCCAGGACCTGTCACAAATATGGACTCTGCCCTCACTGCCCAACTTGGCCATGCTGAGCTGCCCCTGGGGGGGACCATGGGGACATGCCGTTTGCTCGAGACCAGGCTGGAGAGAAGGGTCCGGCCACCCATGCTGCTGCTTTGGCTTCGCTCACCCTCTCCCCCCATGCAAAGAGGAGGCAGAAGCAATCTGCTGACATAGCTCATGCATTTACCCATTTACAGTGACACTCTGAGGCTCACGTGGGCTGTTTTTTTTTAGTAACTTGGATTATTTAAAAGGCTGCTGGGTTGAGCATTTTGCCTGATACTGTACAGAGCCAGCTTGCAGCAGGACCAGTCCCTTTCCTGCGTGTGCTGCAGCCCCCCAAGGGGCCCTGAGTCAGTTTTCTGCAAATTACAGTATCTGATTAAAATGCTCTTTGGGGGAGAAAAAAAACCAACCAACCAAACAAAAAACCCCAAACCCAAACCATCAGGCAGCTCAGCTAGGGGATTTCTGTCGCATTAACACCTCACAAGCTCTCCAGATGCCTTCAATCACCCAAGGCTGCCAATGCTCTGGTGGCTCAACAAATTGCCACCATATGGCCCAGCTCAAACCCCTGGAGAGCACTCAGGAGCAACTCCATCATGGGACTGGAATGACCATGGTCTCCCTCCTGGCTATTGCATTATTCCAGCTGTTCCTCAGCTGAGACCACTCCTGGGAGCGAAGCCCACATGGGAGAGACTTCATGTGGTCGAAGCTTCATCGCCAAAAGTCACGCTGGGCTCCCAGGAGTCACCACCTCAGCAAAATCCCCCATGGGGGCTCCTGCTGGAGCTCTGCTCACACCTGCCTACCTGTCTGTAATGGTGGGTATTCGTGTAACGCTGTGCAGGAGCAGGGTTGAAGGCACCAAAGTGAGACTTTAAGGAGAGCCAAGCATCCACCTGCTAGTGTTTGAAGAGGTGGAAGAAGGGAGAGGAGGACTGAAGGCCCGGAAAGCACAGACAGATGCAATGTCAGGAACACAACCATGGAAACATTAAAGGTCTTGTACAGACTTGCCCTGCAGCCCCAAGTTGACGTGCCCAGATGTTTATTCTGCAACCAGCCATTCCATGTGACCTTTCTATCTCATTTCCTTCCAGCTTACATTTATAAATTGCAGCCCAAACAAATGGCATTCTGGCCACCTGATTCACTAGCTCCTTGTTCATTGAGAGCTACTTCGTTAGACACATAGTGGCCTTTCTAAAAAGCAAAGCTCCTGTTGCCCACTGATTTTGTCCACCACTGTCTTCCAAGATCCATCTTTCCGTTTTTTCCCCCCCCAGCAACCCACAAACTGAACCTGGGCTTTTTCCATCCCAGGCAGGCTGTGAACTCATCCTAGGGAGCTCATGCAACACCTCAGGTAGGGCAAACAGTTCCTGGCGGATGCTTTATCCTGCAGCTATCACCATTCTCCTCTTGGCATTTACTACAAGGAATCCACCACCTCGGAGACTAATCAGGGATCAATCCTTACACTGTTAGATGATACCCCTGCACCTCTTGGTTGGGGTGGATAAGCTTGTGCACGTTGGGTCCCTGAGCTGTAGTGGGTCCCAAGGAAAAATGCCAGGTTTGGGCTCAGTGACAGCTAACACCTGCAAGCTACAGGTGCAGACAGCGCCTGATGCCTTTGAGAGAAGGGCACAACCCACCACCCTGAGCCCTGCTCTGTTCACAGATGCAGTTTATGGTACAGCCCCTACAGAGCTGCTGCAATGTAACCAAAGTGGCAGCAAACTGCAGAGGGGGGTGGGAGGGAATGGCAGGGATGGGGACCCATCCCAGCCAGGCAGTGTCACTGATCCCTGTCCCAAGGTGCTCAGTGCCTGCAGAAATCACAGTGAAGCAGCTCCTGGCAAGGCAGGGTCCCTTCTGGCTCCACAGATGGGACCCCACGCCCCATAGCTGCTGTACGGTTCAGCAGACAAAGACCAGCCGCCGTGCCCA